CAACTCTCAGTACACACACACACACACACACACACACACACACACAGAGAGCTGGGTGCAGTGGTACATGTCTGTAATTCCAGCTACTCCAGAGCCTAAGGCAGGAGGATCAAAACTTTGAACTAGAATAGGCAATTTAGTGAGATCTTGTTTCCAAAAAAAAAAAAAGAGTGGGGTGTGGTCTAGTGGCAGAATACTTTCCTAGCATGCACAAAGGTTTCCTGGTTTCCATTCTCTACTACAAAAAATGAAAGCAAGAAAAGCAAGATGCTCCTTTATTTGTTAAAAAAGAGATTAGAATTTTTACATATTTCTCACTTATATTTTTGGTGCTAGCAACTTAAGCAAGTTAGTTAGCTAAACATAGTTAAAACCCCAAATTACAGACCTCCAATTATGCCTTCAGATGTTCAGTGGCCTCATTTAAACAGGGACAATGTAGATGTTCTTTTTTTTTATTTTTGTAGATGTTCTTAACAGTGAAATAAATGAAATCTGCTGTTTCAGTAGTACAAAAGCCTATGCCATTTTGGGGTTTTCCAAGCGTGAGGCCCTCAAGCTGGGATCTCATTTCCCCTTAAAGTGCTTCTCCTGGAGCTACATGTCCCAACCCAGGCACACAAGCCAACAGGTTCATCCCAGAGCCTGGTGGGAAGAGGCTCAGCTCAGGGCATCCCTGCAGCCAGGCTGGCCTAGAGCTGAGTCTCCACACACAGGCTGGTGCCTGTCCAGCCCAACCCGGTGCTGTCTACCTCCAGGCACAGGGTGTAGGCCCGTTCAGCAGGGGTCTGGTGGCTCCAGACAACAGCTGGAGAGCAGAAGTGAAGACTTCCAGCTGCAGGCAAATATTGCTTTTTTGTGGGTGAAATATTTTATTCCCAAAGTGCCCCTTTCAGCTGAGCAAAAACAACCCCCTGTGGTGATCCAATGCTGCCAGAGGAACAAAAGCTTGCCAGTTCTTGAATCCAAAAGACTGTCTGTATTTCTACACACACACGCATGGCATGGTGAGGAGAGGAGACTGCTATGTGATTCTCAGGCTTGGAGACAAGGTCACCAGGCGCAGCTCTTCCCTCCACTTAGGAAGAAGCTTTGATTACCTGACGAAGGATGAAACTGCTGATCCCCTGGTGCTGGCTTCTGGGGATGTTTGATGATGTGACATCAAGGCTAGTGGTCCCAAGATGGGTGTTGTGGCACAGGCCTATTGTGGAGGGGAGGGAGGCTGAGGCTGGAGGATCACTGCAAGTTCAAGGCCAATGTGGGTACATAAGTGAGTTTAATACCAGCCTGAACTACAGAGCAAGACCCTGTCTCAAAACACAAAACAAATAAAAGTCAGTGGTTCCTAATATCCACGCAAAGTGGATAGGGTGGTCTCTTCCTGGCACCATTGTCCCATGACACAAAGGGATTCTTTAGACAGAGCAGCTGAAGGTTCTGGCCACTTTTATTTATTTTTCTGTTGCTGCCCAGTTTGTCTCTAAGAAACTCAGCAGGAAGGCCACCCTGTTTGTTTTCCACCAGCCATTTCCTGCCATTAAAAATATTTTCCTTCATGGAAGGAAAGAGCTTCTGGGAAAGAGAAGGAAGTCTGAGTGAAGGTAAACACTCAAGTGAAACCAGACCTTGAGGGTGCCAGCTGTCCTATTGCGAGAGTGGCGGCAGTGGAGGGGCTGGGAGTGCAAGCTGGACCTAGGTGGGGAGACGATGGGAAGAGGCGCGCACCGCTCTTGTCCAGGTGATGCCTCTTGCAGAAAGCACCTGGGTCACTACCATGTCACACACATGCCCTGCTGCACACCAGTCTGCCCTGTGACAGAGCTCTGAGCTGAAACAGTGTTTGCAGCCGAGGAACAAACATACCTGCATGGATGAAGGAGGCAGCGATTGGAATTTCACTTGTGCAGCTGTGCGTGGATTGCGACCAGATTTCTCAGACAAGTGAAAGTAGTGGTCAGAATCTGGTGGGCACTGGAGTTACCTGAGAAGCCTCCCAGGAAGGCCAATGTGGTAGGCCTGGGACAGGGCCCCAGGTACCCTTCTTTTGACCAAGCACACAGAGTTCCCTGGGAACCACACTCAGAAACATGTCTGCATCAGAGGTAGTGAGATTTGATGGTTCAACTGGCCCATTTCCCCTCTTCTCCAAAATCCCTACATACCTAGTAAACGTGGCTGGACTTAGGCAACCAAATGGGCCAAATAAGGTCCAGAGAATTTGCAACTGGGATGCAAAGAACTAGTAGTTTGTGTGTACCTGAACCCATCAGGTCAGAAACTTTGCTCAGGAATCCTTTGCTTCAAGGAAGCCCCACCCTGGCATGGGCCTGCCCAAGTGCCCCCTCACCTGCCTCAGTATGTCTAAGACACTGTCCTCAGCAGTCTCATGGGATCAAACAGAAACTGACCCTAAGGATACTTCAGTGGACTGTGCTCTTTCCAAGATTGTGTGGTCTTAGGCCATGTGTCCAATGCCCAATAGATGGCTCTGCCTTGATGGCCCTGAGGGCTCCCTCCCACTGGATCAGTCCAGACATAGCCTATTGAGTCTCCTCTCACACCTGGTGCCTGTATGTTCCACATCTTAAAGAGCAGCCCCTCTTCCTTTCCAGGGACCAGGACACAACACCTGACTATTTTGAACCTGTTCTTTACCCTGGCTTCATTCTAGAATAAAAGGAACAGCTACCACTGATTAAAAAATACTGGATAATAACTCACTTCAGGTACAACTGACCCTGTTGGTCAGATGAGAAAACAGGTGCTCATGGCCAGAGGGCTCCTCTGAGGCAGTCTGGCCCACATGCATGCCCCTGACCAAGGGGTTTGGCCTGCATGTCTCTCCCACATTGCTCCATTGGGCACTTCATCAGCTCCCTGGCATCTCTTGGCTGGGCCTGTGTACCCTGGAGCCTCCTGACTAGTCTCCTTGCCTAAGTTCTTACCCTACTCTACTGAACACAAAAAGGAAATTTTTTTCTAAGTTGGAGTCTCTCTCACTTCTGCACTGCAACTCCTCCAGGTCTTTGTTTCGTTCTCACAGTCCTCGAGCTAATGAAGGAGCATCTAAGCTCCAGTCATCTGACTCCAGAGCTGCGCTCTCAACTGAAGTCTCGCACTACCTTGCTGAGCCCATTCCCTCATCAGGAAATAGTGGGCAGTAGGTCCTGGAAAGGGATGTTTAGACACAAACATTGTACACTCCTTACTGTGTACAGAGCAGCACACACCTGTGACTCCTATGAATGTGACAAAAAGCAAAAGGTTGAGCTGGGCATGGTGGCCTGTGCCTGTAGTCAGGAGGGTGAAGCAGGAGAATCCAGGAGTTTAAGACCAGTCTAGGAAAACACAGCAAGATCCCTCTCTCAAAGCAACAAAAGGGAAAGGGTGGGAGAAGGGGAGGTAGAAAGGAGGAATGGGTTGCTCTGAGAAGCAAGGCGAATTCTACCTGGCATGATTACACAAGTGTATTAGACACATTTTCTCCCCTAATCTTTTCAGCCTCCAGAGGTGCAGGCTGTGATTTCCAGGTGGGTGATCTGAGGCTGAGCATGTACTGCCCAGCAGGAAGCCAGGGCAGACCTCGACCGCCCAAGCGCCCAGTCAGGGTACTGATTGGGAAGTCCCCGTGCTCTCCTCTGACCAGCTGCAGATCAGCTGTGCTCAAACAGGGACAAGACCTGAGGAAACCTGCAGATGCTACTGGGAAAAAGTGTGGGGGACTGCTGGTGCCACATCTTTCCATTCCTTGCTGCCCTCTATGCCATGGTCTAACGTGGAGGAGCTCTCAGAAAAACAAAAGCCCAGGGCCCACTGCTGTTTCCACAACAATGAGAATATTTATTTTCTTCAGACAGTAAAAATAACATTTTTCTCTCTTTTGTAAAAGTTAAGTACCATTACATTCCATTTTCTTAAATAACAAAATCCTAAAAATATATATTAAATTGTATACAGTGCATCACACTTCATTTTATATTTTAAAATACATGATGTTTCTATTTTATTCTCAAAGTTGCATATTAAGAGCATATTTACAAATAAAGCCTTGTCATCTAAAGTCAAAATCCCAGCTAGGAAATGACTTTGGATGTGGGAAGGTCCTGGCGCCATGTGAACCCCAGGGATGGCAGCTCCCTGCACAGGCAGGAAAGGGACCTCCAAGGACACTTCCCTTCTGAAGCAGAGTCCCCTCTGACTGCCCTCCTCCACCTGTTCCCTATCTGCCTCAGTGAGCGGGCTCAGCCGCTCCACAGGACAGGAGCCTGTGCCATGCCCCCCAGGGGTCTGTCTGTCTCAGAGATATCCAGCCTCAGGGAAGCCAGCAGAGGCTGGAAGATTTGAGAAATACCCCACACCAGGGCAGCTAAACTGAGAGGCCTGGCCAGGAGGTAGAACAGCAAGGAAAGTAAACAAAGACACCAGAGGAAACAGTCAAAGTGTTAAAAATTCTGAAGGTAGTAACAAAATCCAACATCAAACACCACACAGAAGATCTGAAACCCAAGGGGGTCCAGGATGACAGAGTTGTGGAGTGGGGGTCTGGCCAGGCTCTGGGAGGCTGGGTCTTGAGCGCCATCTGTCTCTAAGTGCTTGTGAAGATTAAGTGTGTGGTGCCCACGGGAGCTGGGCAGTGACTGTGTGTGCCCTACTGGTCAGAACAGCAGCCAGATTCAGATCCCAAGTGGGGTCAGGCAGGCTCCTGGCTGGGCTGACTCGGGCGTGGTGGGGCATCAGGCCCAGGCACGCCTCGGGTTCAACCTGAGGGCCAGGACAGCTGTACTTGTGAGTGCTTTGATCTTTGTGGGCTGCTGGCTGACTGCAGTCATGAGCCAAAGCCCTCAACCCAGTGCTGACTGATGTGGAGAAAGGTGCAGGGTTCATTCCTGCTCAGCCTCTGCCTTGCAGTGGACTGGACAAGCAGGAAGGGCACAGGGCACCCACGGCCCCCCACCAGCCTTCTCAGAGGCACCAAGGCGGTGAGATGCTGCTATAGACACCAGGCAGCCAGGCCCCAGCTGGCTGAGGTATAGTTACCACAGGAGCAACAGATGGCTGGGTGCACCCTTGAGAAGGCAGGCTGGGTGCTACAAGGCAGAAGGCCATGCTTTGGCCCCTGGAGAAAAGCTCTGAGACCTCCGCTGCCTCTTTCAAGGTCTTCTGCTGCACTGTCATTTACTTTCCTCAAGGTCACCCCTTTCCAACCCCACTTAACCCCTCCTCTCTTCTAAAAGTTTCTTAACAGATCAAGTGCCTGTTCCTGCCATGTTCTGGGAGCTGAGGCTCACCTCAGCTGAGAGAATTTTATTTCTCGGGTGTAAAGTAAATTTTATTTACTCACCATAGGAATGCTGCTGACAGGCTCTGAGGCCATGGCCAGGTATTTATGGTGTTTCGTTTGGGTCAACTTTCAGTCCTCCTCCCCCCAGCATGTGTCCTGAGGTGGGTTTGGGTTTCCTGGGGCTGCTCCCTGGAGAGGAAGTTGGTCCTTGGAGGCACTGGGCTGTGCCCAGACCAAGCAAGAGTGCAGGCGCATCACCTGCACTTCCTGGGGTCTCTGAGAAAGGACTGCCCCAGCTTCAGTTCAGGTAACACCTGGGCTGGGGCATGGCCTCCTGTGCCCTGAGATGTAAGGAGGGTAGGTGAGTGGCCTTAGCATCAGCCCAGGATAGCTCAGCAAATCCCCCTGGCCAGGCCAGCCCTTTCTGGGGACAAATTCCACACTGCCTTTGAGATATACATGGAGCTATTCACAGCACAGGCCCTTTGTGACTGCCCACACCTGACACCAACATTTGACAGGAGATTCCAGAAAAGCCCAGAATAGCCTGGAGGGGAACTGCACGCATTCATCTATTTTCAGTGGTCCTAGTGTGTTACAGGCTTCTGTCACTGGACTTAGGAACCTGTGGACAGCTGCTTCAGGGTGACCACCCTTTCTAGATCAAAGGAGGAAGACAACCCCCAGCAGCTCCTCAGCAGCCTTGCATAGGGCCTGGACCAGTGCTCTGCCAACCTGTGGACACAGTGTCCCTTTTCTCTTCTCTAAATGCTCCTTTGCTTACTGGTTCTGAATGTCTCTTCTGGACTTAAGTTGCCAAATGTCACCTCTGGCAGCAGACATCACCCAGCTGGCCCCATACAACTTTCTGTCTTCCTGGGAGCAGCTAGGTGCAGATGGGTTCCTAGAATCCCAGGAAGGGTGAAAGCAGGCAGTGGCTTAGGAATCTGAGGTAGGCAGGCTCAGAGCCAAGGAGGGCACCCAAGAGGGCAGACACACACAAGCACCAAGGCTTGAGTGCCCCGCAGGACAGCCATGCTCTCACAGGGTCATGGACTGCTCTTCTCAGATGCTGTTGACAAAGCCTGCTTCCGGATGGTGGGAACTCTAAATTATATGGCACTGATTCTCACAACCAGCAGCCACTGCAGCTGGAGCTCTCAATCTTCAGGCCTGTCCTTGGAGGATCTCCAGCTCCAAACCCTCCCTTCTCACCCTGATCTCTATAGGTCACCTCTCTGTGCAAGGGACGTGGCATGGGGCCAGGGATAGAAGCCCTCTCCCTCCCCACAGCACCACTCATAATCCCACTGGGGTCCTGTAAGAAAGGGCAAACTACAGTCTCCAGAGTGTTTGTATCTTCTTCTAAAGTAGGGTCTGTAAGCCCCATATCTCACACAATGCTGCCTAAGGCTATACCAGTCTTTACACTCCCTGCTCTGAACTGACAGCCGGTCAGCTGAGAGAACAGAGATCCCAAGGCCTGGTTCAGGTTCCACAGGGCCATGATCAGCTCAGGGGTCAGCCCAAATAAATCTCACAGCTGGGTGCAGTAGCACACTCCTAAAATGCTAGCTATTTGGGGGTGCTGAGGCAGGAGCACCACAAGTTGAAGTCAAACACTGGCAACTTAGTGAAATCCTGTCTCAAAGTAAGATGAAAAGGGCTAGAGACGCAGCTCAGCTGTGGAGCACTTGCCTAGCATGTGCAAGGTCCTGGGTTCAATCCCCAGTGCAGCCGCCCCACCAAAAAAAAGTCCAATTCAAAAGGAGTTACTGAGTGCTTATAGACACTTCCAGTAGTCTGTAGCAGGGATCAATGAGTAGATGTTTTATATGCCTACCCCTCAAGTTTGTTCTGTAGCTCACAGAACTACAGAAAGAAGCCTCTAGAAAAAAGCATGTGTGTGGAAGGCATCAGGTTTGATATGAATGGGAGGTGACCAGCCCTTCCTCTCAGGCCTTCTGGAATAGGCACATCTTAGTCCAGCACTCACAGTAAAGCTCCAGAGTTAGTACAGAGCACCAGCCCTCTTTACAGTTTAGGGCTACTAATACTCAGAGGAGTACTTGTGTGGAACCAGGCCAGCCATCAAGAGACCAGAGAATTCTTCCAGCCTGGCCGTTCAAACTGTAAAGACCAGTGCAAACTGATCTATGTGTGGACAAAACAGAAGAAAAGCTCAATATGCATTAAACCTACCCACCACCCAGCAGCCATCTAGAATGTACCTGAGCCCCATGCTAGCTGCCACCATCTGTCCCACTGACACTCCCATTGCTAGACCAGAAAGATGTTGGGAGGGCTAGGTAGTAGGCCTTGAGTCTCTTTCCCAAGTGCAGCTGATGAAGCAGGAGAAATCCGGGCTCCACTGCCCCTACAGCATGGCGTTCCTTCTCAGTCCCAGGACAGGGAGGCAGGGAAGAGCTGGTCTTTGTAGAGGAGAACCATGGCAAGGCTGACCCTGGCAGCCTTGAGCTCAAAGAGGGACCCATGTTGTAGGCATGATGGGGTTTTAGTCACTCACAAGGGGATTACGGTCATCTTGTTGACTTTGACCCTTGAGCTTCTTCTTGAAGATGGAAATTGATGTAGAAGGCTTATAAAAAATGCTCCAGATTTCTCCTGAAGTCCCTGGTTGATGGCAATCCCTAAGGTCTCCTGAAGCAGGAACACGATGGGATCTGTCAAAGAAAAACAACTTAATGCTTCAAACATATCAGAACAAAGCACCCCAAACAACCAACTCACAAGGCGCTTGTACCCATGAAACAGAATGTGTCCAGTGGGGCAGCTCTTAGGCAGGATTGTATAGCTTTCTTTAAAGATCTGGAGGACTACTATGCAGATATAAAGTGGCCATCAGAGGAGTGAAGCAGGGCAGATTCCTTCTTGGAATAACAAGAAACTAACTTTCTCCCTCCCTTCATCTGTCCACCCGTCCGTCCATCCACCCATCCGTCCGTCCGTCCGTCCGTGTGTGTGTGTGTGTGTGTGTGTCTGTCTGTCTGTCTGTCTCTGTCTGTTAGCCTCTGTGTCTCTGTCTCTCTCTTTTTTTTTTTTTAAATTTATTTTATTTCTGTGTGTGTGGTCAGCTCAGCCCACCAGGGGGCGGGGCTGGCTGGCATGTGGTGCTGGGGGATTGAACCGCGGTCCCTGTGCTTTGCTAAGCTTGTTCTAAGTAGGTGCTTTAGACCATTGAGCCATCTCACCAGCCCATCTCTCTCATATATACTAGGCAAGCTCTTAATCACTGAGCTTCATCCCAGCTCTCACCTCCCTATTCTAAAATTGTGAGACAAGGTCTCACTAAGTTGTCCAGGCTGGCCTTGAATTTGTGATCCTCTGACTCAGCTTCCCAAGTAGCTGCAATTGCAGACATATTTTCCTATGCTTAATAACAGGGAACTTTCTACCTGCCAGAATTATTCCGGTTTGGAAAACAATGGGCTGTGCAATTGAGTTTTCAAATTCTCCATTTTTAAAAGAAACATACAAACAAATGCCCTATCTTCAAATGCCATTCATCTGAAAGCCCACTTAGGTAAAATAGGGCAAGGGCAAAATTTTTTCTGCTTGAAACAGAGACCTGCCTGCCTAACTCCAGCTCTGCAAACCCTCAAGCTGCTAGGCCAGAGAACTACAGAGGGATTCTAGTGTCAAAGGGGGGTTAGGTACCCACTGTAAGATCTCAGCCATGCTGAGAGATGCGGGATCTACAGAAAGTGACCTGTGCTCTTGCTGCTGCAGGGAATATGTACAGGATTATGCCTGAGAGGCTTCCTCCAAAGATATGAAATTGTGAATTTAAAAAGCATAAATATAGCCAGGAAGACAACTCAGCAGTCTAAGTACCTGCCTGGCAAATGCAAGGACCTGGGTTCCATCCCTGGCGTACTGCATGCCATGCCGGCCCCACCCCGGGCCTGCTGAGCCAGCCACTAAAAGCAGGCATGGCGGCACACGCCTGTAATCCCAGTGCGGGGGAGGCTGAAACAGGAGGTTCACTATGAGTTCACGCTGCATAGTGAGACCCTGTACCAAATAAATAAATAATTTTTTCAAAAAAGCATGAATATGCAGTCAGTCCTCCAAATCTGGATTCTCTTTCTGTGGATTCAACTAACCATACATGAAAATATTTTGAAAAAAGAAACTGCATCTGTATTGAACATATACAAGCCTTTTCTTGTCATTATTTCCTAAACAATTTAGTAAAACAACTATTTACATAGCATTGACAATGTATTAATCATTGTAATCCACCGTAATTAAGAAATGATTTAATTGTTTCTTGGCCTTTTGACTAAGATCAAGTGTGGAGAACTGATTTAAATTTAAAGCATGCAAGTGAATATGTTATTTCTATGTCATGTTGTGTAAGGGACTTTTGCAGTCAAGAAATTTTGTACCCACTGGAGGAGGGGTGTCTTAGAACCACAGTCCCACATATACTAAGGAACAATGTGTGTGTGTGTGTGTGTGTGTGTGTGTGTGTGTGTGTGTAAAAGGCACAAGGATGAGCTTTAGTAAACAAAAGTAAGGACATTATTTCTGCTGAAGGCTTTCATATCTAGGATGGAGATATCCAAGTAAGGTCATCACAGCTTGGCCAAGGTACCCTTCATGTAACAACAGAGGATCCCATGGTTAATGTATGGCAAATGAGAAGGTCAGGAAACAGAGCTTTTACTGGACATCCGTATTCAGGAAGGCTCTGTAATGGAGAGAACCTGGACCAGGAACCTCAAGAAAGAGTCTGAATCTAGAAAAAATGAGAATAAACTCTGCTCTGTCAGTATACAAACATCAGAAACATAAACAGTTGCCCCTTTCCTGGAAGGTAGAACTATTAAACCCAACCAGCAAAATAATTTTCCAAATTGGTCAGAATTGAAGGATAAAGGTAAATAAGCTACTTAAATAATTGTTTAAAATAATTATCAACAGTTAATAAAATACTAGGATTCTCATGCTAAGACTGTCTCCCAGTTTCTAGAAGTCCTGAGGAAGAGACATGACATTGTTCTAGGAATCTTTACTCTTACATAAAAGAAGCTCTACAAGGAACCAGCACAAGTAGAAAAAAATGGAAAATATTGCTTTCTATGCCAGGATTGTTTCAATCCTCCTTGAAACCATATCCTTTGGACGCAGGAGCAAACATGATCCCGCCAACCTTAGTGAGATTTGTCCAGTTGTACATTTCACTCTACAGAGGAGGAGGAAGAATGCCTGCTGCCTTATGTTACTTAGGACTCCAGGCTTTGGCATCATGTTCTGATGTTACAACTGCACCCAGACAAATGAAGCATAGGAGAAAAGGAATGCTGAGCCTTCCCCTCCCTGGAACCAGGCGGCTCTCTTGTACTCACTTGAATGTGACATGCAGAAGTATCTTTGCCACAATGGCTGTGACTGTGAGGATAAGGAGAGTCGCTAAGCCATACACTGTCCACCCTGCAAATGCAAAAGACAGTGTTTACGCATTCTGATTGTGCTTCAATTCCCAAAGGTCTGTGCTGAGAGGTGCAGGCCCAGTTGAGGAGCTCCCCACAAGAGGAAGCAGCAACAAAGGTGGTGGGAGCAGGTGACCTGTGGTAAGCCTGGAGTGCCTGGCTTTCTAAGTACCTTGCCCTGTTCGAGAAATTCCTTTGGGGTAGAGGTAGGCAATATAATCCATATAATTAGAATAAAAGTGGGGTACCTTTTATCTCTACTCCTGGAACCATTGTGCCACTGTGGATGGTTACACAAAGCAGATTTTCTTATCTGAGAATGAGCTGTGTGACCTATGAAATCCTAGTGGGCCTACAGTCAACTGATGCACAGTGAGTAAGTATTGGTGAGGCCTCCTCCTTGACTCTCTATGGTGGGTTCTGCAAAGTTAGGGAAGTATGAAAAGCACTAGGCTAAGTCATTGCTGATGGGCCTCTCCAGCTCCACTGGCTCAGCTACAGGTCACATAGCAAGAACCCCAACCTGCCTCTGAAGAAGACCCAAGAACACTTTTGTTTCTATAACCACCCACCAAAAGCACTACCTTCCACTCTGTGGTTGCCAGCCCCTACTGCTGGTGCCCAGGAATTGCTACCTGGGACAGTCTGCGGTGGATGGCTGGGGCTGGTGGTGATGACATAGAGGACTTTAGAGGAGCGGGCAGCACTGACACTGAGATTGGCCTGCTCTGTGATCACCTCAGCCAGGGTCTGGTTGACAGTGGGCCTCTCCTGCAGCAGTTCTTCCTTGATGGCTAGAAGATCAAAAGGGATCAATGAGAGAAAACCAATGGAAAGAGTGAAGCGCTATGATGGAAGAGGGAGGCTGGTCAGGAAGAGAAGATCTTTATTCTGATTTAAGTCTGTGTGCAATCACTTCTACTGGTCCCCCCAGCCCCAGAGCAGAACACAGGAGGTTCTGGCTCTAGCCCTGAAGGAGGCAGAAGGAAGGGGCTGTCAACTTCTAATTATGTGACTGATCTCCTTGCAGACACCTGAGCATGCTTCTCTGTTTCCTTACCCTGTTCTCTGCTGCTGTTTTCCTGTCTTGAAGACTCTTCCTTCCTATCTATAGGTAAGTCTATAGACTGTCCCAACTGGAGGGCAGGCCTCTTCCCAACCATCTCCTATTGCATCAACCATCTAAACCCTTCTTGAGGTTTGTGATTCAGGACAAAGGCTGTGTCTAAACACCTGTGCTTCTTGGGTGAGGGCAGACTTGTGTTTGGCACCCATGTTTACGTCAGAGGGGCAGAGGGTATGGCTCCACTTTAAAAAGATTGGAAAAAGACAGTAGATAACTCTTTGGCACTGGCTGGAATGTTTAGAGGTGAAAGTGTAGATCAAGTGATCTCTTAAAAGTCCTTCCAATTCTACCAATCTCAGCTTTCTTCTAGTTATTCTTTTAGCCCTCTCATGAAAACTGTCATTAAAACTACTAAAATAGAAAAACTTAAACATAAACAAGTTGTGCAGTGGAGTGTGAGGTATGTGCTGTGCATTGGGCTAATCCAGAGTTGAATCAGTGCCTCCCGTCTCATTGTGCTCAACAAGAACTGCCCAAGATTTGAAAGTCACCCAGGTGGAAAAGAGAAGCCTGAGACACATATGTCCTGAGGAACCCTCTGTAAGAAAATCTTACCTTGGTATAAGACAGCAAATCCCTGGGCCTGATTGATACGATCAGAGAAGAAATACAAAATAACAAAATCCAGAGAGACATTAAAGGACAGAGGTGGGCGGTTTCTCCCATTGAATCGGACCAGGACTCGATGGGTGTATCCATCCAGCAGCTCCACCATGTCTGCAGAATCCCTGATGTCAAACAATGTGAAGTTGAAGTGGATGTGAGAGGCTCCTGGGACCCGAATCGTCCAGTAGCAGACCCGCCCAGTGGCATAGGTGTCAGGAAAGTCTGGGGAATAGACCACGGATGTCATCGCTGAGTAGTTCCCACCACAGGCACCAACAAGAGCTGCAGAAGACAAAAAAACCCAGCAGGCTTGAGGGCATACTCAGAGCATCCTCTCCATGCTGACATAAAGAGAACTCTTCCTAAAGAATGTGATCTCATTTAGGATACTGTTCTTATCTATAAAACCAGACCATCTTAGATTTCAGGATCCAATTGCAAAATGAATTACTCAAACTCTGGATAAATGACTGTGAAGACTTTTGTGATTTTTTTCCCAGGAGACCTTATATTTAGCACACAGCACAGTGGAACAGCTAGGTTGGGGCCAGGCTGGAGTCAGAGAGTCTGTGTTTAGGACTGACAGTTTCACCCTCCAGGCCTCTCCCTTCTCTCAGTTTTCAGGCAGCGGCCACCTTCTACTCCTGGGTCAGGACAGATGAGATAAAGCACATGAAAACAATGGGACCTCCTGGCAGGGGAGGCATGAAATCAAGGGCTTTGTGGCTGCTTGGGTGTCCCTAATACCTGATAGGTACAATGTACATAGGAGGTGTCCACATTCATTTTTTAAGCAGGAAGCTGTGGCACAAGAAAGGATTTTCTACATTCCCATTGCTTTGTACTGGATACATTGGATTTGTCTGAATTCCTGTTTATGACTAGCAGGATCTAGGAAGGGGACTACAACCACTTCCTATCTTCAAGAGTATAATGTAAACAAATACTGGAATAAAAGGCCTAGGGTGGAAATATAGGTCTACAATCAAAAGCACATTTTGGGGGAGTTTCGCTTCACTTCAAAATGCAGAAAGCAACAAGAATATGCTGTTGGGGCTGCAGGTACAGTTCAGTGGCAGACTGCTTACAAAGTCTGCATGTGGTTTGATCCCTAGCAGCAGAAGAATATAACATAACATATGTAACATAACATAACATAACATAACATAACATAACAACATAAGAAAGAATATACTGCTTTCTCATCCTATGTAGCTCAAAACTGAGAAGCTGAAGTCTTATGACAACAGAGGATTGGTTTGGTGAAAATAGAGGGTTGGTTTGGTTTCTTTTTTCTTTTTTTTACTGGCTCAGCCTGCCCTGAGGCAGGGCTGGCACAGTATGTGGTGCCTAAGCTTGCCTAAGCAGGTGCTTTAGCCCGCTGAGCTATCTCACCAGCCCTGGTTTCATCTTTGACAGAATATGGGAATAAGGGGTAATGCTGCAGAAACAAGCAAGAAAAAAGCAGCTAAAATTACAAACCAAAACCAAACAAAAAGTCTTAAAGGCTGACAGGCTGGGTGTGGGTTTACCTCTCAGTTGAGAATAACAGGGAGCAGCAGACACAATGAAGCTTGTGTCTACTTGCATGCTATTCTGTGCAGGCCTCCACACAGTGTTGCCAAGGGGGACTGCAGTCAGGCAGCTGGCCAGGGTCCCACTCAGTGTCACAGGTATGCCACAGATCATAGGCTGCCGCTGAGGAACAAGCATGCAACAGTGTCTGCTTCCCATATACTCCTCTTAAGCAAACCCTCTTGTTTCTAGCACCACTGGAAAGGGACTCAGAGGTAAAGATGTTCCACCTCTGTGGAAGGAAGTAGGAGACTCCTTTCTGACAAGTAACCACACAAAAACTCACTGCTTCTAGGTGCAGAGCAGAAGCAAAAGGCATTGGCCCCTGATTGGCTTCAGCCCTCCTGGGCCCAGGAACCTGCAAAGTACAGGTCTGCCACCCTTGAAGAGGGGCAACACAACTCTCTTTCCAGGACTGACCATAGACCAAAGCAGTTTGACTGCCAGGGAGACAAAGGGCCACACCCATACAGCCGAGGACATGTGCTAAGCCTAAGGATGAAACAGGAGAACCAAGAGTCCTCTTTCAAAACCTCCCCACAAACACAGCATCAAGTAACAAGTGACAGCAGTCTACCACTGAGAGAAAGACATGTGGTAGAGAAAGAGTCCCTCTGCACAGACACACAGGAATTACTCAAAGCTGAGAGTAGAACTGGAACATCGAAAAAACCCACTGGCCCCCAAGCTCCTGTTTCAGTGTACCAGCAGACTATTGCTAGAGGAATCTGAAACCTTATGTGCCTTGAGAGTAGTGTTCAAAGCAATGAAACCCAAACTCTGCTCAACTACTCCCAGCTTGATTTTATCCCTGTTGGGTATAAACATCATTTACCTTAGTATTTACCACTCTCTACATAAGACCTATGGTATTCAATGGAAAATATAGGAGGGAGGCCTCAGGACTCGGTGGTAGCACACTGCCCAAGTGTTGGGTGATTCATGGGTAGTAGCCAAGGCCGTGACGACTTCGGCAAGGAGCAGCAAAATAAGCTGGAGGCCCTGGAGTCCATCCACCCAACTCCTTCACAGCATTATCAGAAAATCCATCCAGTTTCACCATTTCTACAGTATCTGACACTGGAGAAAATAATGAAATTGTCCAGACTACCCTCAAGTTTACATACAGTGAAAAATACCCAGATGAAGTTCCTCTTTATAAAATATTATCCCAGGAAAATCTAAGTTAATGATGTCACAAACATTTAAAAATTATTAGCATTGCAGGCTGAGGAAAATCTGGGTGTGATCATGATCTTTAGTGACAGCAATGCAAGAAAAATTAAACACAATAGTAGATCAGATAAAAATGAGAAGAGAGGAGGAAAAACTAAAAGCAAAAGAAGCAGCCAGGTGTGGTGGTGCATATCTGTAATCCTAGCCCTGGGGAGGTTGAGGCAAGAAGATAACTGTGAGTTTGAGGCCAGCCTGAATTGTATGATGAAACCCTGTCTCCACAAGACAAAAAAAAAAAAAAAAAAAAAAAAAAAAAAAAAAAAAAGGCAGAAAAAGAGAAGAAGCAATTATTCTATAGCACACCTGTTACAACTAAAAATTTCTTATGTTGGAAAGCTAAGTTTGATGTAAAACTCTTGGGAATTAGAAGAAGCACATGAAAGAAGAAGAACAGGAAAAAAATCAATTGAGTGGCAAACAGCTGTTTAAAACAGACTACAGTCTCGACACATCTGATAGCCAGTTCTTGGAGGATGCTGGAAACAATGTGGAAGGAGGTGAGTTTTTGTTCCGGGAAATGGATGACTCGGATCTGGAGGACGCCGAAGGAGATCCAGACCCTAAGCCTGTGGATGCAGGGACTGGCTCCACAGTGATGGACTGTCTCCTTCTCTAGAGAGGCACAACGGCCACAGCATCTGTGGCTATGCTGAGAGGGTTTCATTTTCCTAAGAAAAAATAATTTTCAGGAGAATATTCTTCTGATAACTTTCATCACTGAAGTTAATAAACTGACCAGAATAATTCTTCACATATAAAATATTTACTACTTCTTAGTGAGGAACAAAAGATTACATATTTGACATTATTTAACATTGGAGGGAGATCCTATTTATAGCGCCAAGACTTAAAGGTAGATCACTGTCATGGACATAGGGGATTTATGCTCAAGAAACTACATAATTCATCATTTCTATCCTAGAGATGATGGTCACTTTTGGATTTCAAATATTGTCTTTTACACAGAGTGTTTCAATATTGAGATAAATACATAGAAAATTAAACCTGGATTGTAGGCTCTGAGCACAGTAAATTTAAGTTTTAACAGAACAAGAAGCCCAAATTATATGTGATAGGTTCTGGCCCTAGTATGAAATGCTAAAATCATTATGGTGGTCATCTAATATGGCCGATGCCCTTTAAACAAAAGCCCATCTTCCCAACACCACCTCCCCCTTCTTCTCCAGCTTAGCCTAAGACATAATTTACTTCCACTCTTCCTGCCACCTCAGGGAAGCCCCCAGTCAGCTCCCTCAGGTATATCTAAACATGCCCTTCAAACCTTTCCCCTGGCAAGAGGCCAAAAAAGCCTCAGCCTCCCTTTGTCTAGTCGTGAGAAAAAATTCCTCATCCTTCCCCACGTTCTCTCCGGTGGTCTCCAAGAAAATAAAGCCCCTTTCCCTTTTTCCTTCTGCCTCTTTCTCTGCTGCACCATTCACCTGAAAACACCTATCAATAGGCAGAAATAAAATGGACTTCATCACTATAATAGTGCCTGAATGCAAATTTTTATTGTTTATGAAAGTTGTATATTCCTAAGCACTTCTCAGGTTAGACTTATAAGCCCTACTCTGCATTTTATTTTATTTATTTATTTATTTTTATTTTTGGTGGAACCGGGAATTGAAGTCAGACCCTTGCACTTGCCAGGGAAGTGCTTATTCCACTGAGCCATCTCCCCGGCCCTTCTGCATTTTAAAAGTACAATCTGATATCAGTTCTACAAGTGAATAAGAAAAAGAAAATATACCAGTACTCTGTAGGAGGCTGAGGTAGGAGGATTACAAGATTAAGTCTAGCCTGGGCTAGTCAATAAGACCCTGTGTCAAACTTGGGGTAGATGCATTGTGGCTCACACCTGCAATCACAGCACTAGGGAGGCTGAGGCAGGGGGAACACCGAGTTTGAGGCCAACCTAACCTACATAGCAAGACTGTTTCAAAAAAAAATTTTAAAGGTCAAGGATATAGCTTAGTGTAAACATTCTGGGGCCAATCCCTAGTACTGCCAAAAAACACAAAACAAAACAAAATAAAATACCACCTAAAAGCAACAAAAAAGTAGAATATGACTATCAAGAAATAAAATAATTTTCAAAGGACTAGACTCACAAAAGACTCAGATCTTGGATCTATCAGATAGAAACTCTATGATGAATACAGATGGACCCAGAAAGCCTCACATACTCATGGGTGGGGCTTACAGCTGACTTGCTTTTAGGAGGTAGTCTGGTCAGAGGCCACTGGAGACACAGCCTAGAAAGGTTTACTTTCAGCTAGGTGTAGTGGTATAGGCCTGTAACCCTAGCACTGTGGTGTGGTGAGGGGGAGGGGGAGTGGCTGAGACAGGAGGATTATATAAAGTTGGAGTTCAGCCTGGACTACACAGTGAGTTCAAGGCCAACTGAACTATATAGTAAGACCGTGTCTCAAAAAAGCAATACATAGATAGATAGACAGACAGACAGACAG